GGTTTCAGGACAATGACAGTAAGATAAGGGAAGAAACCATGGAGGAATGAAGTCCTAATTACTATACATGCATTTTTTTTTTTTTGACAGTAGGGGGAAACCTTTTACAGATAAGTTACAAACAAAGAAACGGCAAATAAACAAATTTATACAAGAAATTTAACACATTCTGTACAACGTCTTCACTTTGCTGTCATCATTTGTACAAACTCTTCATAGTTTACTTGGCCATCACCATCAATATCTGCTTCCCTGACCATTTCATCAACCTCTTCATCTGTTAACTTTTCTCTAAGGTTTGTCATCACATGGCGAAGCTCTGCTGCACTAATATAACCATTGCCATCCTTATCAAATACATGGAATGCTTCTCTAATTTCTTCCTCACTGTCTGTGTCTTTCATTTTTCTTGCCATCATTGTCAGAAATTCAGGGAAGTCAATTGTACCGTTACCATCTGCATCTACTTCATTAATCATGTCCTGCAACTCTGCTTCTGTGGGATTCTGCCCCAGAGACCTCATTACAATTCCCAGCTCCTTTGTTGTTATAGTTCCATCACCATCCTTGTCAAATAGTGAGAAAGCTTCTTTGAATTCTGCAATCTGCTCTTCAGTCAGTTGGTCAGCCATGCTGCAAGCGCTACTGGTTTCCGAGATGCGAACACCTCTAATCTGCTTTCAGGGAACCCCAAAGCTCAAACTTAGAAAATTAGGAAACTTACTCGTTGACTTTCTACATCCTACTCTTATCTTTTCAGAGAAAACAGGAGAACTAAGTTCCCACCCCCTTCCTCACACTAGTTAGGGTCAAAGGAACGAGGCTGTCATCCATCTCACACTGGGGAGATGGAGTACAGAGGGGACAACTCATACAGCTGGGGCAGCCACATCACTGCATGACAAGACTTTTTTTGGTTGTTGTTTTGTTTTGTTTTTGCATAACAAGCCTTGAGTAGCACTAAGATTAGAAACCTGGCCCAGCGAGGTGGCGTACACCTGTAATGCCAGCACTTGGAAGGCTGAGGCAGGAGGATCGCTGCAAGTTCAAGGCCAAGTGGGAATTAGAGTGAGCTCAAAGCCAGCCTAAACTGCATAGCAAGATTGAATTAATTTAATTAAACCAGCCAGGCATGTTGCCCACACCTGTAGTCCCAGCATGCTTAGAGGTAAAAGGGGAGCATAGGTCTGAGCAAAGGCCCTCATTTTGGGTCCCCATACAAACAAAACAAAGGAAAAAGCAGAAGTCAGAGTCTTCAGCTTTCCAGTCTTGAACATCCCTGCTAAAGGGTTTCAAACGGCCTTGATAACATCTCAGAAGGGAGGCAATGGTGTCTCTGTCAACCATCGTGGTGAGCCAATAAAGTCTTAAAAGTTTAGACTTTGGGGCTTGATATTTACCTCAGTGATTCTGCACCTGCCTGGCAAGCATGAGGTCCTGAGTTGGATTCTAAGTACCAAGAAATTCAAACTTTATCAGGCTGGTGTCAGAATCAAGGAGCTGTTCATCCCCCCATCTGCCATAACCTGGGAATCTGAGGGCACATGGGGTTCCCTGAAAGAAGATTCAGTGATGGGACATGCCCTGAACCCTGTGTGGCTCCTGAGGCAATTCTTTTTGGTGTTTGTTTGTTTTGGTGGGTTGTTTTTGTTTTTGTTTCTTCCTACTGGGAATTGAACTCAAGACCTCATACTTGCCAGGCGGGTGCTTGTGCCATTGAGCTCTACCCCCGGCCCCCTTGGGGCATTTTGAGAAAGGAGCAGTCACAAGAAAAGGACGGAGCCCTGGGTATTGTTGTAATCCTCAAAGGGAAGAAAAATCATTTGAAAATATGTTAAGTAGTAGTAAATTTATATTGCTAAGAAGTTAAGGATAACAGAATGAAAAAATTTATAAAGCAGCTATTAAAAACTGTGTGCCTTCTTGTACAGCAATTAACCACTAAGAAGAATATATACAGTGTGTTATTTGTTGAAACTGTACTTCCGATTGGATTTGAAACTGTCTCATTGCTGTTTATCAATAAAATTTTGAAGAAAAAAAAACAAAAAAACTGTGTGCCAGACAAATCACATGCCAGGGGTGGTGGTGCACGCCCATAATCGCGGAAGCACCCTTGGAGCCAGTAGAGAAAATGCTGTCATCTGGTGGGGAGGGATAGTTAATTTCAATTGTCATTCTTAAGAAGAATCATGAGAGAATTCAGACATTTCTGAGAAACACAAGTGGCTTACTATTTAAAATTCTGCCACTAGGGGGAGACAAATGAGTTAAAAATTAATCTGCTCTTGTTCTTTATAACATGCTATCCAATTAAAAGTCTATGAAAATATACTTTGTAGCAGAATTTTAGTAAAAG